GCCGTATGGTCGCGGCAAGCTCGTCCGGCCCATGTTCGGTCAGGGCGAATCGGTTGTCGTGCGCATGCGTATGGGAGATGTGCCGTTGTCGCGACGCCCGTAGCCATTTTGGCTCGAGCCATTTTGGCTCGAGGCTCGGCGCAGCTGCGAAGGCGAGGCCGCGTCGGCGGCCCACGAGCCACGCAGTGGCAGCCCAGCAAGGCACCGGTGGCAGCGGCGGGCGCGCGGGCAGGCGCGCGTGCTAGCACGGCTTGGCAAGGCGGCCGGCCTGCAGCAGCAGCACCGCGGCCAGATGCCCCCCCGCCGCGAGCGCGGGCGGCCGGGCGCCCAGGCCTGCCACGAGGGCGCCCCGGCCTCGGCGCGGCGGCTGGGCACCAGGGCGACGCGGCGGCTCTGCCAGCCGCGGAGGCGGCGCCCGGCGGCGGCGGGCGGCGCGGCTGCGGGCGCGGAGGCCGCCGAGCCCACGATGGCCGAGCCGGCGGCTGGGGAGCGCCTGGCAGCCGTGCGCGCTTGCGCCGCTGCGCTGCGGGTCTTCCTGGAGTGCGCCGGGCAGGTGGCGCAGTGCGAGGCGGAGGAGGCGGCTCTGGTGGAAGCGGAGCGCACCGCCCGGCCGATCGAGAGCAGGCCCCAGTCGGCGGTGGATGTTTCGCGCAGCCGCTCCGACGCGGCCCTGAAGGCGCGCCACATCGTCGCCGACGCCCAGGAGGTGGCCTAGCAGGCGGCGCTCGCCGCGGCGGGCTTGCAGGCGCAGGCCGTGCAGGCCGAGGCCGAGGAGCGTCCGCGCAGCAGACTCTGGCAGCTGTGCGGGCTGAGGCGGCTGCGGGTGGCGCCGCTGGGCCCGCAGGTGGCCTTGGGCCAGCCAGTGCCCCCGCCACAGGGCCCGATGCGGCCTTCGCAGCGCTGGCGGCCGCTGCGCCCCCGCCGCCGCGCAGGCTGTCATGGTTGGGTTGCTGGAGCAGCTTCGCGCGCGCTGCAGCCTGCGCCGGTTCGCTAGGCCTGCCGCTGGCGCGGCGGTGGCGCCGGGCCAGGGCGGCGACTCCAGGCCTGCAGGAGGTGCGGCGGCAGCGGCGCCAGCGGGTGCCAGCTTGGACGGAGCGGCCGCCGCTGGTCCTGGAGCGGCTGGGGCTCCGTCGCATCGCGAGGCTCGCGCGGCTGGCGTCTCGGGAAGCCGGCGGCGCGCGGCCTGCGGGCGCGCGGTCAACGCGCTGGGCATCCCCCAGTGACGACGACAACGACCGCTCCCGGTTCAGAGGTCGCGGGGAGTCCCGGGAGCCTCGAGCCCCCTTCTTCGCCAAGCCCGCGCAGTGCCTGCCTGGGTAACGGCGGTTGCCCTTGCGCCCTGCCGCGGTTGCAGCTGGCGGTGCCCGATGGTGCGCTGGGTGCCCTGCGGCCGCCGTCGGCGCGCAGGAGTGGCAGGTGGGGAGGAGCGACTGCATGGGCCGCCTCCGCCCTCCATCAGTGGCGCCGCTGGCAGCGGCGGCCTGGCTGGGTGCTGCGGCTGCGTCGTGGGGCTGATGGCGCTGCTGCAGCCCTCCCGGGTCCGCCGGCTGCGGGGTCCTTGGCAGGGCGCGCGGGCCGGCGAGGCGCAGCTCCCTCGCCCGGCCGCCGGAGACCGCCGCGGTGCTCGTGGCCCACGTCACCTGCTGGGGCGCGAGGTGGCGCGGCTTGCTTGCCGCGGGCGGCCACGTCTGGTGCGCGCCCGAGGTGCGCATTCCCACCGCGGAGGTGGAGTCGGCCGCGGGTGCGGCTCGGGCGCGGGGAGTGCAACTGCAAGCTGGGCCCGCCTCTGGCGGCGAGGACTTGCTTGCTGCCGCGCGTGCGCTTGGCAGCTGCGCGGTCGGGGCGGATCCGACGGTTGGTCTCGTGGGGCGGCATTTTGGGCGGCGCCGGCACATCGCCGTGCACTTCGGCCACGGCTGCGCAAATCATACACTGAATTCCCGTAGATATGCCGGCGGCCCTTCCGACGCGGAGCGCAGCGCCGATATCTGTCGCTGGAGGGGCCGGGGTGGCTGCGTGACTTCGGTGGGGCACCCGCGCTCTTAGCCGACGACCTTATTTTCAGCGCCCGCGATTCCAGGCTGGAGGGCTTCCTGGGGATGGCGGGCTGGAAGGACCTCCTCGCCGCCGCCGGCCCAACCTGCATGCCATTAATGCGTGGCGCCCCCTCGCGGATCGACTACGCCCTGGCAAATACCGAGGCCCCGGCGCCGAAGGCCAAAGTCGGGCTGCGATTGGACCTGGGGCTGACCACGTATGCGGCGCTGCCGGTGGAGCTGCGCGTCGGGGCGCCCGATCCTTCGGCAGTGGGTCGCGGTCCTAGATGGTCGCGCTGTGGGCTCGAACGCGGAGGCGGCGCATTCGACCGCCGCGGCTGTGCGGGCCAGTCGGCAGGGCGCCGCCGTGATCAGCTGCTGCGCGCTACCATGCGCGAGGGAGTGGCTGGCGGCGCGGCGCGAGCCGCCCGCCGCGCCGGAGCGCCCGCGCGCGGCGGCAGCTTGGTAGACTGACCGCCCCCCCCGCCTCCGGCGGCGGCGGCGAGGCGGCAGATGTCGCCGCCGACGCAGCGCTGCTCTGGCTCCAGCGGCTGCGCGGATTTCAGCGCACCTGCCAGCGCCGCGCGGGTGCGACCCAGCGCGCGGCGCGGTCCACGTTGGCCGCCCTGCGCGCCGCCGACGCTGCGACCAGGCCGCAGGACCGCCGACGCTGCGACCAGGCCGCAGGACCCCGCGGCGATCTCGGCGGCGGAGGGCCTCCTGCGGGCGCGCGGATGGGGGTGCGGCGGCAGGCCGGCGCTGCTGCCGGGGCGCGACGCCGCGACGGCTGGCGGCAGCGAGCCCACGCCCACGATTGTCCGGCGAACCGTCAGGGGGGGCTCTGTAGGCGGATTCGCGGCGGGGGCGCCGTGGATGCCGCGCTCGTGCCCGAACCGCCCGTCGCCGCCGGCGGCGCGAGCGCGCCGGTGGGCGGAGCGCCGCGGTCGCTTGCGCTCCGCGGCGGCCCCGTGGCGCAGCTCCGCTTCTGCGAGGGCCCTCGCTGCGAGTTGCGGCAGCGGCGGCCGCGAGTGGCGCTCGGGGGGGAGCGGCTGCGGGAATTTGATGGCTTCCCGCCCATCCGGCGTCGAGTTCCCGCGTCGAGTTCCCTGGGCCGCCGACCTCGTGGCAGGCGTCCTGCGGCGCGCGCCGAAGAGGAAGGCGCCTGGTCTCGACGGCGGGCCGCGAGCGACGCCTTCCCCCTGCGGAGCCGGACAGTCGGATCGCCGGACCTCTTGGATGGAGGCGGGGGCCGCTGGCGCCTGGCTTCGCGAGCTCGCCGTGCCAGAGGGCCTCCTGCTCCCCGAACCCGACGATTGAGCTGGGCCTCTCGACCGACGCCCCATTTGGTAGCTGCCCATCGCGCACCGCCAGCGGGCAGTTGGGCGCGCGCGTTTGTTCGCGCAGCGGCGGCCGAGCATGGGCGACGCTGGCGCGAGCTCGAGGCAGCGGAGGCCCCAGCTGATGCCTCCTCGGCGCGGCGGCGGGCACGCCCGCAGGAATGCGCGGCGCTTCGCGCGGCGCGCGCGAGCTGGCCTGCTTGCAGGCGGCCGCGCGCCAGGCCGTCTGGCGGGGCGGGCTGCGCGCCTCCGCCACCGAGGTGGTCTTCGGCATACTCAGCCCGAGCTGGCGCCTAGATCTTGCCGCGGTTGCCGCCCTGGCTCCGCTGTTGCAGGCGGCCATGGCATTGCGCCGCCAGCGCTTCCCACTCGACCTCTGGCGCGAGGTGGCGGGCGCCGTGGACGCTGGGCACGGGTGGCAGCGGAGGCACTTCGCTGCCGCCAGGCGCAGCCTGGCAGACCTAGGCCTTGAAGGCGATATCGCGTTCTGGCACGGCGCCCCCAGCGGCCGTCGCCCGCAGCACCGAGCGGCGACGCTGGGCGCGCGGTTGCGGCACGAGGCTCGCGCGGTGGCTTGTCGGCGCGCTGGCCTCGGGCACGCTGGCGGCGGCGTCGACCGCCGGGCTGCCCGCCGCCTGCTCGGGAGCGAGGAGCTGGCGCCAGGCGCGGCCAGCGCCTTGCGCGCGGTGCTCAGTGGGAGCGTCGTCACGGAGACGGTGGCCGCGAAGTTGGGCCGGCCCGCTCGCTGCCCGCACTGCGGCGCCGCAGCGGAAACCAAGGGGCGCCGCTTCTGGGGGTGCCGTGGGCAGCGGCTCGCCGCGCCGAGCTGCGGGTCGCAGGTCTAAGCCAGGCAGCCCTGCTCGCGCGCCTCCCGGCCGACGTTTTGCTGACCCGGGTGATGCCGCTGGGCGCGCGCCTGGCCGCGCTGGCAGCGCGGGCCAAGCAGGGGCTGCCGCCGCCCCCGCTGCCGCCCGCGACGGTTGGCCCCGGGCAAGCTCGGCTGCGGGCCTAGAGCGACGGCGCCTGCGAGCAGCCAACAGACCTTAAGCTCGGGCAGGGTGGGATCTCTGCTGGGGACGGCCCGGCAGCGTGCTGCGATTGCGCAACGAGCCCGCGGGCGGGCCCCAAACCGCGCAACGGGCCGAACTCGCTGCGGTGGTGCACGCGGTCAGCTCGGCCAGAGCACCTCTGGAGCTGGTTGCTGATTCGCTTAATATGCGTTCCACGGGGTCGCGGCCGTGCGCGCCAGCGACTCTCCCCGTCGAGTGGGCGCACGCGGACTTGCGGGAGCTGTTGAGGCTGCGTCGCTGAGTCAAGGGGCACCTCGACGGTTCGTGGTGGTGGTGGTGGTGTGGTGGTTGTGTAGTTTATTGTGATGATGGTGGTGCGTGTGGAAAGTGGTGATGGTTTGTGGTGATGGTGGTGGTCCTGGCGGTGTAGGGTCGTGGTGGTTGTAGTGGTGGTGTTGTGGTTTGTGGTGGTGGTGGTGGTGGTGTTGTGGTTTGTGGTGGTGTGAAATGATGCCACAGATACTGCAGCAATTTCGGTCTGGCACCTGAGGCGTTCATCACCTCACCAAGCGGTGAAATGATTACCCAATGCATTTTTTCAATAGGCCTTGTATGCA